GTAAGAGGAAGTGTGGGGATGCACATGTACCGTGCTCTGTGGGGCAGGGATGTATGTGCAGAGGGATGATGTGGGGCTGTGGTGCCTGGTGTCAGGTATACATGTGTATGGGGTGGGCAGAGGACTGTGGTCAGGGATTGATGTGTACCAGGTCAGTATGGGATCTCTGTGAGGCTGGGGATTGTGCGTACAGGGGGAAGTGCTAGTACCATGGGGCTGGGAGCATGGAATCATAGAATAGCTAGGGCTGGAAAGGACCTTAAGATCATAAACATGCATAAAGGGGACGTGGGTCTGCAGTGTGTGAAGGCAGGGATGCTCTAGAGTGTATTTTGGAAGAGGTAGAGCTGTAATTCACAGGATGTAGGAGGGTGATGGGGCTGCATGTGGGAGGTGTGGAGTATGTGAATGCAGAATGGGAGGGATGGGGGATCATTTTAGTGGACATAGCATGAGGTGTAAGTGTCCTTGTGTGGATGCAGTGGAAGAGGTTTGGCTGGATACGCTGTGCAGAAGGAGCTGGGAGTGATGCTTGGGGCCTCACTGGATTTGGGATGAGGCTGAGCTGGGGTGGGAGCGTGGAAGGGGGAGAGGTCTGGGAGTTACTGTGAGGACGGCTGGCTGGGTCATATAGGAGCATGGAGAGTGTGTGTGTGTGTGTGGATGGCAAAGGGGCAGCAAGTGCTGCTGGGCCTGGCAGTGTGACAGAGGATGTGTCCGTTGGGGTTGTCTGCATCCCTGCAGTGGAGGTGCTGAGGGGGATGGATAAATGCTGGTACCTGCAGATATGGGGTGCAGGAGGATGGGGTGTCCAATTGCTGTCTGGGTCAGAGAATAGGATGGTGGTAGGGGTCTGCTGGTGTGGGCATGTCAGAAAGGGGGTGCTGCTCTCCTTTCGGGTCAGGGAAGGTGTGGGGAAGTGGCAGTATGGGGGAAAAGAGTTTGTCAGGGTCCTTGCTAGGTCTGGATACAGTGGGATGAGGGAACAAGGCTCAGGCTATCAGTGTGGCTGGGGGATTGTGGGTCTGTGTGTGGAGGCCTTTGCTGCCCTGCATATGGGACAGGGAGCGTGTAACATGGAGAGGACATCAACGACGTGTGTGCAGTTCTGGTGTCCTCAACATAAGAAGGACGTGGAGCTGTTGGAGCAAGTCCAGAGGAGGTCATGAGGATGATCAGGGGTTGAAGCACCTCCCATATGAAGACAGGCTGAGAAGGTTGGGGCTGTTCAGCCTGGAGAAGAGGAGCTGAGAAGAGTCTGAGGGACCGTGAAGGTAATCTACAAGGATGCTGGAGAGGGACTCTTCATCAGGGGTTGTAGTGATAGGACAAGGGGTGGTGGGTTCAGACTGAAAGAGAGGAAGCTCAGGTTAAATATGAGGCAGAAGCTCTTCCCTGTGAGCGTGCTGAGGTGCTGGCACAGGGTGCCCAGAGAAGCTGCAGCTGCCCCATCCCTGGCAGTGTTCAAGGTCAGGTTGGACGGGGCTTGGTCAGCATGGTCTAGCGTGAGATGGCCCTGCCCATGGCAGGAGCTGGAACTTAAGGTCCTTTCCAGCCTGAACCATTCTGTAGGGCTGCCAGCACTGCTGCTGGATCTATATTTGGGGGGAGATTAAGGAAGAGGGATGCACATAGTGGAGAGGCGGGGGAGAGTGGGGGTGTAGGCTGCGTGTACACAGAGAAACATGGCTGGTTGTGCCTCCTGTGCCAAGAGGGACACATTCCCCCTCCCTTTTGGGGTGCTGTGGGGTTGTGGACTGCCACTTTTTCATGTGTGTGAGTGTACTTGTGGAGGGGGAAGTCCTGGAGAGCCCCTAGGTGGCTGGGTCTGGCAGCAGGGAAGGTGTTTAGAGGAAGCAGGGATTGGAGTTGAGGTGGAAAATGTGATTGCTCGCCTGAAGTACTGGGTGAGGAGGAGGTGACACACTGGTGGTGGACTGGGGGCTACTGTAGGTGTTCAGAGAATGTGCCGGGGACTGCAGGAGCTGATGGGAGAGGTATCAGGGCTCTCGGTGGAAAAGTCTGGCAGCAATTCTGCCCATGCTGATGTAGCTGTGCTCATGGAAGTGTCGGTCACAGATGAGTACCAGAGGATTGCTGCTGTCAGCCAGTGGTGGATGCAGCCTTAAGGCCAGAGAGACTCTCAATGCCGGAGGTGTCAGCTTCCCATGCAGGAGTGAGTTTGGAGAGTGTGAGGAGCAAAGATTGGCACAGGTGTACCTGAAGGTGCTGCTGCTTGTGGTCGTATCCCTTCTCTGATGCAGGAGTTCTCACTGCTGTGGTGATCCCTGATAAAGCCGTGATGAGCTGGATGTACCCGATACCTGGACCTGCCTCTGCTTCAGCAGTTCAGGAAGAATTGAGTGGAACTGATCTGAGGAAGGACTTGGTGATATTGCTGCAAACTCCTTGGATTTTAATTCCTGGTTGAATAGGTTTCCTTGTCCGAGCTTTTCCCAAATTTGAGGGCTAGCTAGATGTAAAGCTGTGTGTAAGCTGTCTGGAAATGACAAAGGTATTAACCTTTGTCACCCAGCAGCACCTCTGAAGTCTGTATCTCCATCCAGACAGGAATGATCTGCAAAACAGTTAAAGGGAACAACAGAGTTTGGGAGAACTGAATTCTGGGGTGGAAAAGGAGCTACCCTAGGCTTGGTCAGAGCTGATACAGCCTTTGATATGGTCAGTACCAATACTGGGGAAGACGCTTCTGTAACTGGGTCACTACTTATGCAGGAGATGAGTTGTGGAGTAGCGTTGTCACTGGAGCTCCGCTGCCTCTACCACAGGGGGCTCAGGGCCATAATGTTTATAGTATAGGGAGGAAAAGATACAGAGGTGGTGATAATTCAGTGCTTGAGGAATTCAAAGTGTATAGAACTAAGGCATCATTCTCTGACTTTGGGTGAGCTTACTGAAAGTGGGGTGAGGAGTTTTCTCCCTCTGTGAATGAATAAGGAAATATCACAGGCTGAGAGAGCTGGGCTGGGTCAGCCTGGGGAAGAGAAGGCTCCTGAAGGGAAGACCTTAGAGCAGCTCCAGTGCCTAAAGGGGCTGCAGGAAAGCTGGAGAGGGGCTTGGGACAAGGGATGTAGGGACAGGCCAAGGGGAATGGCTTTAACCTGCCAGAGGGGAGACTGAGCTGAGCTCTTAGGCAGAAGCTCTTCCCTGTGAGGGTGCTGAGGCACTGGCACAGGGTGCCCAGAGAAGCTGTGGCTGCCCCATCCCTGGCAGTGTTCAAGGCCAGGTTGGACACAGGGGCTTGGAGCAAGCTGCTCTAGTGGAAGGGTCCCTGCACATGGCAGGGGTTGGAGCTGGATGGGCTTTAAGGCCCTTTCCAACACAAACCAGTCTGGATCACAGCAGGTTTTTTTTTCTCTTTTTCATGGAGGAGAAGTGGGATGTGCTGTTTCCATGCCAGTGATGTGGTATTTTTTGTATTACCTCTCTCAAAATGATTCCTGTACTTCTTTCTTTAAAAGGCTTGTAAAAAGACATTTTAATACTCAGCTGCTGTCTCCCTGCTTCATGAGGATTGTTTCCTTTTGCTGCTCAGATAGGTTCCTGTCCAAACCCAGCTCTGGATGAATGAGCTGAATTTTGCCATGGTTTTGCATAAATAGAATTAATTAAATTCCAATTGTAGCATCTTTATTGTGAGTGTGTTATCTCGGAGTCAAACCAGTGGGGTTTGAGTTAGCAGAGTTGTCAGCTGGAGGGACGTAATCTTTGTATTTGAAACTGAATGGATTTACTCTTGACATAATCGAGCCCTAGTGGTGTTGCTCTGAAAAGCATGTCGTTGCCATTCCCACATCTCCTCCGCTGCAAAGGGAAAGGATGCCTTTCCCAGCTGTGTTAGATCTTTGTTCCAGCTGTTACATCCCATTAGGAGAGCTAAGTCAAGATTTTCATTACTTTTCTGCTCTTGTTCCTTTGCATTTGCAGGAGCTGTAGTTGATGGCAGCTTCAGTGCTGCAAAGGGAAGGCAGAAGGATTTGCAAAGCTGGTTTGAGATGTGTTTGATGCCATGAAATGCTTCTGAATACTGGAGGGGGTGGAGGAGAGAGTGAACTTACAAGGGAGAAAATAAGGGCTTTCCTGTTCAAGTACACCGTATTATGCTGCAAAGCTTCTAAGAGGAAGCCTGTTGAATGTGCTGTACGCTTCACACGTGGTTTTAGCCCAAGATTTAAACAGAATATATGAAAACCAATCTCGGAGTGTGTCATTAAGGTATTGAACTACAAAACAAACTGGGGTTGTGTGGTTTCTGGGAGCAGAGTTCCATGTTTCTGTTGTTTGTTTTAAGCAAGAGGGGAAAAGGGGAAAGTTCTGTTAGGTACTGCTTGGGTTTGCACTCACATTTCACATGCTTTGATAGAGGTGGTGGCACAGATGCTGCTTTGGGTTAAGTGCTCTGGATTTTGTCTGTTTGGGTTTTTCACACTGGGGAAGTTCCCTGTGAAGAAAACCCAGTCTCTGCTTTATTCACTATGAATTTAGTGACTGCAGCTTGGATTAATTATAGACATGCAGAATATGTTGTGTTTTGCTTTAACTTGGCACATCCAGGGAGAGAGTTCAGTTTCCAGGCTATTTAGGTGGGTGCTGCAGTTCGTGGGAGGGATGAGAAGGGAAGTCATGGTTTGTAGCCCCTAAAACCCTGATTTTTCTATCACATTGTTTTAAAAAACAACCAGGTAGCAGCTACTTCACTGTAAACACTGAGGGCACCTGGGTGTATTTCAGCATGGAATTCAGGACAAATTTAGCAGGACAAATTTAGTTATCTGCTGCTAAAACTTGAAGTGTAATCATAGAATCATAGACTGCTTTGAGTTGGAAAGGACCTTAAGATCATCAAGTTCCAGCCCCCTGCCATGGGCAGGGACACCTCACACTAAACCATGTCACCCAAGGGTCTGTCCAACCTGGCCTTGAACACTACCAGGGATGGAGCATTCACCACTTCTCTGGGCAGCCTCACAGTAAAGAACTTCTTCCTTATATCCAACCTGAACATCCCGTTTCAGTTTGAACCCATCACCCATTGTCCTATCACTACAGTCTGTGATGAAGAATCCCCCTCCAGTATCCTTGTAGGCCCCCTTCAGATACTGGAAGCTGCTCTGAGGTCTCCACGCAGCCTTCTCTTCTCCAGGCTGAACAGCCCCAACTTTCTCAGCCTGTCTTCATACAGGAGGTGCTCCAGTCCCTGATCATCCCTGTGGCCTCCTCTGGACTTGTTCCAACAGCTCCATGTCCTTTTCATGTTGAGGACACCAGAACTGTTCACAGTACTGCAAGTGAGGTCTCACAAGAGTAGAGGGGCAGGATCGCCTCCTTTGACCTGCTGGTTACGCTCCTCTTGATGCTGCCCTGGGTGCAGTTGGTTTCTGTGCTCAAGCGCACACTGAAGCCGGCTCAATGCTTAGTTTCTCATTGACCACCACCTGCAAGTCCTCCTCTGCAGGGCTGCTCTTACAATAAACCAGGTAATTACTTCTGGGGTGTGTTGGATTTGGAAGTAGGGTTTTCAATACCCTTTCCTTGAATTTTCAGAATTGAGCATGTGCTGTGATTGAGGCTATGCTGTGATTTTAATTAATTAATTTCTGCTGAAATTGGCTTAGATTGAGGAAATAAAGTTTCAAAGTTGGTCTTTAATTTCATATTGTGTGTCTGCTTTTTCTGAAGTTTATTGGTATGTTAACATAGAATTATAGAGTATCTTAAGATGGAAGGGACCCATAAGGATCATCGGGTCCAGCTCCGTGCTCCTTGCAGGACTGCTTAAAAGTTTTATATATATATATATATATATATATATATGGAAGATATACACCATATGATATTAAATATTGACAATATTAAATAATACATTAAGTTGGTATTATTAATGCAACTGCATTTCTGTTGAAAAGGCAGGTTCTACTCCGGCAATCACAACCTTGTAGCTGGGAGTGAAAATGACAGGGTAGAGCTGGCTCGAAACCTGCTCATGTGTCACTGCACCATCTCCTGTAAAGGGAAACTTAACTTCATTGTAGCAAATACCGTGGTTGGAGAAAGCAGACAGCAACCAGGATTTTGGCTGGGAATTACCATAGTGGAGAGAACTGACCTGGTGTCAACCAAATGTTTCAAAGTATTAGACTTTGATGATCAGTTTAAATGCGCTGGGTCCTGATCCTGATGCTGAATGACTTGTAACAAGTATCTGTGTGGGGCCCATAACATTTTTTATAAGAAATGTACCTCTGTATGTCCCGATAACCTTATATTTTGGTGGATTTAAGTAATTTACTGCATACTGGCTACCAGTAAAGAAGGCTTTTTGCTTGACATTTATGAGGCTACTGTGAAAAGAAACAGACTGAACAGCAGTAGCAGGAAGGTGCTTTTGCCTGCCTGGCAACTCCATTAATGGGATCATTTTTCCCCACCCAAGTGCAAGACATATATCATAGAATCATACCATGGTTTGTGTTGGGAGGGACCTTAAATCTCATCCAGTTCCACCCCCTGCCACAGGTAGGGACCCCTTGCCCTAGAGCAGCTTGCTCCAAGCCCCTGTGTCCAACCTGGCCTTGAACACTGCCAGGGATGGGGCAGCCACAGCTTCTCTGGGCACCCTGTGCCAGCGCCTCAGCACCCTCCCAGGGAAGAGCTTCTGCCTAAGAGCTCATCTCAGTGTCCCCTGGGGCAGGTTCAAGCCATTCCCCTTGGCCTGTCCCTACATCCCTTGTCCCAAGCCCCTCTCCAGCTTTCCTGAGCCCCTTCAGGCACTGGAAGACTTACTAAATAATCTACTGTGTAGCTTCTGACCGTTCTTGTGGTTGCTGGATGGAAGCAATGTGTTGGCTGCTTGAAAGATTTATCCTGGAGTAACTACTCTGTGTATTTACACAGAGTATTTACTATGTGGCAAGGTTATGGGATGTGCCAGAGCATCAGGAATCTGATAGAGCCTGTTGTAAAAATATTGAGGAGCTACACCTATTAATTTTCTGATTAAAATGAAGTTTAAAACCCCCTCTTTTATAGCAGACATGAGGGTGATGCTGAGCTGTTTATAATAGACTTTACATGTTGCATGGGTAGTGACTCATTAACATAATGTATTTATTAGAGTTATAGTCGCTCGCTTTATAAACCCCAGCATGAAGGGAGAAGCTCTTCTGTTCTGCACTGACTTGTTACATTCTCACTGATTCAAGCAGACTCTGGGCCAGGAAGGAGGAGAAGATGGGGTGAGTTTGACAAAAGTAAATCAGCTATTCTTGAGGCTGGATTTGGGGAAAGTAAGGTCCTTTTTTCCATAACTCCCACCTTCACAGTTCCTGTGGATGTTGTGAGCATTGAGCAGCTTCTTTGCTGGAGGAATTCTTGAGACTCTTGCAAAAATAACTGGGTTTTAGCTGCCTCTGAATATTCCTCCTCATTGCAGGAGAGGGGTCTGTTTTCCCTTATGGGCACTAGGTGTATGTGGAGGTGATGCTGAGCACCAGGGTTGGAGGGCTGGATAACTTTCCACCTAAGTCCTCAGCTCTGTGTGGGTTCTGGTTTTTGTTTAGTAATGATAAATGCTGCAACACACTCCTTCCTACAAGTGCTTCATAAGAATACATGGCAGAGAAGCAACTACTGAGTGTAACTGAAGCATGGAAATATTTAAGCAAGATATAAAAAAGCAACTATGTTAGAAAGCAGATTCAAAATGTGACCAGAAACCCCCTGGAGATTCAGTTCTGTTTCTGGTTTTGGGATCCATTTCTGTGTAGAGATTCCTTCTCACTCAGTGTTTGTTCTCATGCGTAGGGAAGCTGAGTATTGTAGCTTCACGGTCATTCACACAGGGTCCTGGTGAGCTGCTCTGACACCGAATGGTCCTAATACAGCTCTGCTGTTTGCAACTCTTATCAGTTTCGGAGTACAATTCCCAGTCAGGGAGCAAAAACAGTTTAAAAGCTTGTGAGAAAGATATTTCCTTAGTCTGCTGTTTGCAGAGTAAGGAGGAGTTATAACTTGGTGGATGAACTATTCCTGCCTCCTTCCATAGCTTCTCAATCCTGGACAACAGGTATTATTTGAAGTGTTGTGTGTGCTCTAGGGGACAGCAGGAGTTTGAAAACTAAAAGCTGCATGAGACATTGGGAATGTCACTGGGAGGATTCAGCATCTGAACTTTTAAATTGAGGATAGCACAGAGACCTGAAGAATATTGAGACAAGTTCAGGATGCACAAATTCAACCTGATTTTCTTTCTTATGGCATGGTTTCCCTACAGAACAAAGCTTAAGGCTAACTGAAAGACCAGGAGAGTGTTAGGTGTTTGTCAGCGTTCTCTTTCATGTGTCTGGCTTCTGCTGTATTAGTTGAATATATTAGCTGCTATATATTAGGTTGAATTTTATTCAGCCAGTGAGAGAAGAGGAATGCTGAACTAATCAAATAGAAGTATAAAGCCTTTATTTGATGAATCACCTGAAATTACATTTAATACATTTTTGTGCTCTGTATGTTACCAATTGATAACTTTTGATTTAAATATAGATATGAGTACAGACCTGAAACGTTTTTGGTATGCTCTTGCTATTGAGGACACTGTAACCCATCAGTCTTTCATCCCTCTGACAGTTGCAGGGTTAAGAATTGTTTAGCTTTGAACCAACCTTATGACTTGTCGTTGTCTCTTTGGGGTCAAATATCAAAGATACAGGAAAATTGAATCTACAGAAGGTTTTTGGTCACCTTTTCCTTTCTAACAAACATAGTTGTTTTTTATATATAGTTGCTTAAATATTTCCATGCTTTAGTTACACTTAGTAGTTGCTTCTCTGCCATGTGTTCTCATGAAGCTCCTGTAGGACGGAGTTTGTTGTAGCATTTATCCCTTACTGCTCACATCGATACACGTTCTAAAAGATGATATGCAGGTCTAGGAAAAGACCTTTCCTATTGCAGTGATAAGCTGGACTGAGCTTTTCATGTGGAATGTATGACTGTGCTTGTGTCAAGAAGCATGGACTGAGTAAGGTGCTTGAAGCATCTTCACTGAGCCCTGCTCATCGGGTAGGTGATGTGGTGCATCTTGCAGTCCTGTGCGCTGGTTGTCTGCAGCATTCCCCGAGGAAATTTCCCATTTTATCAAGGAAAACTAGACAGAAGCAGGGAGTGCGTCGATATGCTTTCTATGTTCAGGCCATGCTCACCTGGGAATGAGTGCTGTGGAGCTGTTGGAGCAGCTCTGCTCTGGAGCCAGGCTGAGAGAGCTGGGCTGGGTCAGCCTGGAGAAGAGAAAGCTCCTGAAGGGGAGACCTGAGAGCAGCTCCAGTGCCTGAAGGGGCTGCAGGAAAGCTGGAGAGGGGCTTGGGACAAGAGCCTGTAGGGACAGGCCAAGGGGAATGGCTTTAACCTGCCAGAGGGGAGACTGAGCTGAGCTCTTAGGCAGAAGCTCTTCCCTGGGAGGGTGCTGAGGCGCTGGCACAGGGTGCCCAGAGAAGCTGTGGCTGCCCCATCCCTGGCAGTGTTCAAGGCCAGGTTGGACACAGGGGCTTGGAGCAAGCTGCTCCAGTGGAAGGGGTCCCTGCCCGTGGCAGGGGTTGGGACTGGATGAGCTTTATGGTCCCTTCCACCTCAAACCGTTCTATCAATCCCTCTGTGTGCTGCAAGCAGCCCAGCCAGTGATTTCAGGAGTGTTTAGGGAATAAATATGCTCTCCTTCTGGGCTTGGTGGAAAGTTTTCCTCAAGTTTTGTTTTTAGCTGGCTGTCAAATCTAGTCTCTGTTAAGTCTTGACACCTTCTGGATCAGTAAGTTCAAAGGTGTCTTTGTAGTCTGAAGAGCAACTAAAAGTGACAAAGCAAAATTCCTTAACTGTGTCAGTTCTCTAAATTTAACTTTTTTAAGGATGAAGCAGTCTGTCTAATCACAGAATGATTTGGGTTGAAAAGGACCTTAAGATCACCTAGGACCAACCCCCTGCCAGTGGCAGTGATACCTCACACTAGATCATGTTGCCCAAGGCTCTGTCCAGCCTGGCCTTGAACACTGCCAGGGATGGAGCATTTACCACTTCTCTGGGCACCCTGTGCCAGTGTCTCCCCACCCTCACAGTAAAGAACTTCCTCCTTATGTCTAACCTGAACTTCCCCTGTTTTAAGTTTAATAACTATAATGTTAATATGTTATATATATTAAGTTTAATAACTATAATGGTCTCATAACTACTCTGAAGTTGTAATATCCCCCTTTGGTTATGTTAATTCAAATCTCCGC